AGTTGTAAAATAATCCTTAAAAAATTCCGTTTGCGTATTGATCGATCCTGAGTGACAAAATATTGCCACAATCGTGCTACAGTTTCACAAAACATATCAACGTTTCTTCTTTGAAACGTCCGCCATAACGTCAGAAACATCCTCAGGAAAATTAAGGCATGGGCCCCAAAATAATCCAGTGAAAAAAAGATGGGGGTGGTCTATCTCTGAGCACATAAGCACTAGAAAGATGAAACTTTGCCAGATACATGCATTGGTGTTTTCCAATTATACAAATGTTGTCACGTGACTCCATACTGTTAGAAAACAATAAAAAATCTTTCAACAAAAATGGCAACACTTTTTGTTGTGAGTTATTAAACCGAACTGGTTTAAGATAATGTTTAATACAAGAACCTATAAAACTGTGCTTGGCCTTTTCAAGAACAGTCTTTTTCAGCCAATGGAGGTCACGTGACCTAATTAGCGCATTAAGCCAAAAAAAAAAACATTTTCAAATGGTATGAGGCATCACTGAAATGACAATTTATTATAAAAGTGAACCTTTCTTAACAACTTTCTTAAGGTCGCCCGAACCTTTTTATATGAGCGTTGGTTATCGCGTTTCTCGGCAGGAATGAATTAACCGATTTCTATGATTTTGGCATCCTTAATAAAGAATGGTCGAACTTTAAGAAAAGGTTATTTATTTTCTTGTAGGTACACAGGCGGCCCAGACGTAGTATGCGTCACTGAATGAATATATTAATATTCACATGGACAAATTAATGCGATGAGTCGTCGAAACTCCCATGAACTAAAATAGTCCAAAAGTCAAAATATAACAAAACAAAGCTAAGATACCTTCAACTGAACGTATCCTTGTCTTTCCTGGCCGGTTTAAGTGGCATTTTGTTGAGTTTTGCAATTGTAGGTACTATCTACTAAAGAAGAATTAAAGGCTGGCTACGAAACAAACGGACCATCTCCACGCGCCTTCCCACGAAGCGCTATAAATTCGAAAATAATCGACGAATCCGCTCCAAATTGCCATCGACTAATCTGCAGGTAATGTGTGCTCCTGCTTCTTGCTCGCTGGCTCCACAAAACCCATCGCAACTGCACAATAATTGCTCGCTCATCAACAACCAGTGTTGACCTTTACGCTTCGATATGACCGCAAACTACCAGGTATAATACGCGACGTGAATATTCAAGCTTAGCGACCACGTTCGCGCAACAATGCAGCACTTGCTGTACCAGGAAAATTCTGTTTGTGGTTTCAGAACTGTACAACCGCAGGTCTTTGTATTTTCCTTATGTAATCGTTATTACTTTTACTATGACGTAAGAGAACATATAATGTTACACGTTGGGAAAAAGAACTATTAGATAAAAAAAGTTTTTTAAAAAAAAGCAAGGTCAAAAACGAGTCGTAAGGTACTTGTCAGAGTTAAATAATAGCCCATGATCCCAATAAAATATATATATTTTTGAATCTGAGGGTTTCTTGTCATTTTTCTAACTTTGGTGTTCTTGGTGTCCAAGCCTCGTAATGTAGTCTCTTATGATAACGCGGGGCTATTTAGGACTATGTAGCCCTATGTCCGAGTATGCAGGGCTATGTGGGATTGCGTAGAGTTCTGTACGGCTATGTAGCGCTATTTTAGGGCTATGTATAGCTATGTAGGGTTGCGTAGTATTATGTAGGGTTGTGTAGAGCTATGTAACGCTATGTAGAGCTATGTATGGTTATGTAGGGTTGTGAAGGGATTATAGGGCTATTTGAAAAATGCAACTAGTGGTCTATTATCAATGCTGCATTGATTGGTTGCGCTACTACTGTGCTATATGTTACAGCCCACTATTAGCGAAAAGCGCCAGCTTTGAAAATCAAGACAATGGCGTATGTATGGCTATGTATGTCTATGTGCAGCTATATTTAAGCAACAGAAAACGTTTTCTGTTTGCATAGTTCCATATAAACACGAGAGGGGTTGGGAGAATTCGAGACAGCTATTCAAACCCGAGACGATTCGTCTCAGGTTGGTATAACTGTTGAGAATTCTCCCAACGCCTCGAGTGTTTATATCAGGCTATGAAAACACAGGAAATAAGCTTTCCATTGCTTTTATAAAATAACTTTCCCGAGAAAAAACGCAACACTCTTTGTACGGCACTGATTAAAAGATAAATTCTTACCAGTCGCAAAGTCCTGTCCACGAAGTGTTGCATGTGTAATCAGTTTTCGTTTTCCATAAAGATGCTTTCTAAAATGCGGATTTTTCTCGCTTAAAATGTCAGCTTAAGCAAAGAGAAATTGACACACCTTCTTTGTAAGGATTTTCCAAGTTTCAGCCGACAAATAAAATGGGTAAATAAAGTAAACTTGTCGAGTTTTGAACTCCAAAACTTTTTGAAATTCGTGCCTAGATAGATAGATAGATAGATAGATAGATAACTTTATTTAAACACGGTTAAAATTCCTTCAGCATGTACAAAAAATCCAAGATCTATTATACCTAACTAAACTAACTCTGATTAAAAATATATTCATAAAATTTTAACTACCTACAACCCCGGACAAAACCTGTTGAGACAAATCGCGAAAATGCCTATTTTTTCCTGTCATCCCGGCAAAAACTGAAACCGCCGCCAAATGAATGGCCGATTTCCCTCCTCCCCTTATCCAAAGTTGTTTAGGATAGCATGGCAATTATACACGTTGGTTTTTAGACAAAGGCAACTTTGAATAGGGGGTGGGGAGGGGGTTTACTTTTTGTGTTTAGGGGAGACGGGAGTAAGGCGCAAAAGTTAGAAAATAGATGGAATTGTCTCAACAGTTTTGTCCGGGGCTGTCTGTGAAGGCCAGTTGTTCAAATCGCTGTAACTTCGCGATGTAAGGTCGGAGGGTATTGATTTTTTGCACAGATGTTGTACTTGTCTAAAGCTTTGTGACTACGAAAGAAGGTGTCATAAAAACAATTAGGACGCATTAATTATGCACTTAGAAATTTAGCCATAAATTAGAAACCTTATACCTAAATGAGAAAGAAATCATGCTCTTTACAGAAAAAGTGTTGAAATTAATTGTGGTTGGTGGCCACGGTTAAGGAGTTCTGTGTGTGTCACAAATATGATATCTTAATAGGAGCCTTACCTCCGGCCTTTTTACCAACGTTAATTGTGCTTACATGTCGAATAAATTAGATAAGACTGGGTATTTATTATATTTGCGCAGCACAACTGTCCTGTTCAAAAAATAATAGTGCGTGGTGTGCAGGTCATGCACGAGGACTCAAGAATGCGGCGGAGCAGTTAAAAATAACCCTTAGAGGTAGTGATACTTAGTTGCAGTGACAACTTTCTCCATGTAGTTAGAGTAGAACTGGAAAAGTAAGCTTCACCGAGTTAACAATACCCGCGTTTACTGAGTGTGTAATTAGAACAATTTACAACATATATACCAGATTATCTACTTGACAAAATAATGGAATCCATGCCGATAAAACCGTTAATTCTTCTATGACAACCAAGGCCAAAAGAACAAATATTAATGAAGAACTTCCAAAATGGGTAGAAATAGGATGTGTAGGGAAAGCAATGCCTCTTTGATCACAAATACAGCGAAAACATGTTGTCACGCGATGTGGCACAAAACAGCGCATTTCATGACAATTACACCAGTGTCAAAAAGTTTTCCCTTGAGTAAAAAGGTCTTTTTAATGCTTGAAAATCAACAAAAAGGTTCTATATACTACGGAAAATGCTTGAAAGCACCGTAAACGCTTGAAATAAACGATTAACAGGCACGCACATGTTTATTCCAACGGTTAACAACGGTTAACAGCGGTTAACAGAATCATAGTTAGTACAGAATATATTAAAGGAAACTGATAGTCTAACTGTTGTTTTTCTTCAGAAAAGTTGTTAACCGTTGTTAACCGTCGTTAACCGATGTTTCTTTCCTCTGCGGTACTTTATTCGTTAAGTTAACCGTCTGCGAGAAAAACTACTCCGTTTTTGTTGCATAGCAAGCTCATCGAAGCACCTTACACATCAAGGGATTTCCCGTTATTGTTCCCGCGGGATCTGCGTGGAGAAATGAGAGATCCATCATACCACATTCCCGTTCGTACACAATTCCGCATTTGCTGTAACTGAGGCAATGTTGTCCTATTAAGTGTAGGATCTTTGCACTAAACTTGGCGAACGACGTAATCACTGCTAAGGCAAATTACTCGCGGGATGGAAAAATGAGCCAAATTCGCGTGACTGTAAGTGACCAGATAAGCGCACTAACCTTCCTCTCACCTAGTGATTCATGCGATATTTCCGAGCCTCCTGAAAATGATTCGTCACTATCGGAAGTTCTCGAGAGATCCATTTTGTCTGGCGATTACATATCAATGTCATCATTTGAGCAGGCAAAGCGTCTATGGACACGTAAGCCGTTGAAAGTCATGCCCATGGTAACGTCACAGAGTAAATGTCATTTGACAGATCATGTAATCAGAGTGTTATAACTTCAATTTTTACTGTAAAAATTTTATTTCGCATTCAAAAGAAAAAAAAAAGTATGCTGAAACAATGGCTTTTATCAATTTGACCAAAAGAGAGGACTATAACTTGAGGTAATTGCTATGAAAGTTAAAGAATACCGAAATCAGTACGCAGACAACCCCGGACAAAACCTGTTGAGACAAATCGCGAAAATGCCTATTTTTTCCTGTCATCCCGGCAAAAACTGAAACCGCCGCCAAATGAATGGCCGATTTCCCCCCTCCCCTTATCCAAAGTTGTTTAGGATAGCATGGCAACACGTTGGTTTTTAGACCAAGGCAACTTTGAATAGGGAGTAGGGAGGGGGTTTACTTTTTGTGTTTAGGGGAGACGGGAGTAAGGCGCAAAAGTTAGAAAATAGATGGAATTGTCTCAACAGTTTTGTCCGGGGTTGTAGCTATTTACAAATAAAAGCTGCTTTTCAAGGATGCCGTGTAAAACTGTATTAATGTATGATCTTATTCAAAACTGTTGCGACACAGTTTGCGTTTAAAATCATGTAAAGAATCTGCAGATCTTAAATCATGGGATAGGCTGTTCCACAGCTTAGCTCCCCTATAGGAAAAACTTTTCTTTAAATAATTGGTACGGGCAGTGGGCTAATTTATTTTCAGTATTCCTCAATCGATAAGAAGTTATTTCGTCAAGAGATACAAATTTAGATGTTAGATAGTCGGGAGTCATCCCATGTACGGTTTTATACATCATAATAGCCGTCGATACTTGTCTTTGGTGTTTAAGCTTACGCCAACCCAGTGCCAGGTACAAATCGTCCGCATTACAATCAGAATTAGCCTCTGCAGCTTATCGGAAAGACCAATGCCGCAGTTGCTCCATACGACATTACAGTAATCAAAATGCGGTTGAATTAAACTGTCGTAAACATTAATTAATACATTAAAAGGAATAAGATGTCGTATTCTTTTAATTTCACCCAAAGCAGACGCAATCTTTTTACAAATACTCTGTATGTGGCATTCCCAGCTTAAGTTTTGGTCAATATGCACTCCAAGAGATTTTGCCGTTGACACTTGCATCACGGGATGGTCGTTTATCATAAAAGAAGGAGATTCAGAAAGCTTTGATAGCTTCTGCCTCGACCCAACTAACATAAACTCAGTTTTAGTCAAGTTAAGGGTCAGTTTGTTAGCCGATAGCCATATATACACCTTGTTTAAGTCGTCGTTAACGCAGTCATTAGGGACCTTAAGCATCGACAACTAAACGGACGACGACGACGCTTCCCAACCGAGGCAGACTGGGCCAAGGGTTTCGTTTTCGGCGGGGAAAACGAAGTTTAAGCAGTGCAGCTTCCCAGACGGACGACGACTTTTTCTTTGCGAAGAACTTTGTCTTGTTACAGTCTTGTTAGGGCATTCAAAGACCTCCGTAATTTGCATTTTATAAGGTATGAAGATGGTTTAATGGACGATGGCGAATTCATTGTTCTTTAGGACCTGGATTATTTGATTGTGGAGGCTTTCTCTTCGTCGCGCAGCTGTTGTTTTTGTTTTGAAATGAAATTAAACCTGTATACCGATCTCGAACAGCTCTTGACTTGCAGTTAAGCTAAATTTCGGCTGCTGAAGAGAATTCAGTGCTGCTACAATGTTCTCCCATATTTGTCCTCTCTCAGGGCTCCTCATAACCACATCATGTTCCAGCTGAGTCCACTGGAAAATAGTTGCCTTTAATAGCGTCTAAAGACAACATGGGAAATTATTAAATCTTAGTACGAAAAAATGAACATTTATCCTATAGCACAACCTAGAATGCATGAGTGAACATAGGACCGTAAGGGAACGAACAGCAGCTAATCTAAAAGGTTCGGAAGATAGCGGAGCAAAGCTTACTTGTCTGTCCGACTTGTTGTTCCGCCATCTCTCAGGTTTTCAAACAAACCGAACCTGAAAAATAAATTCCAGTTAGCAGGCGAAGAAACCGACAAAGTGTTTAACATTTGGATTCTGCTAATCCACAAAGAATATATTTCTACTTGTACTGAATGACAAGAGGGGGAAAGAGTGATTTACACGCAAAAAGTATAGTTTTATACTTACGTTTTAGCGACGAAGGCAAACCTCCCTGAATCACGTCGTCGACGAAGGCTGGACGACGTTTTGACAACCTCACGCATGCCTAGAAGGTTCGCGCGGGAAAATTTCACTCCCGGTCGGCGTCGTCGTCCCATTTCGTCGTCGATGCTGAAGGTCCCTATTTATGAGTTTTAAATCTGCGCTGGCATAGGTTAGGCTGGTGTCATCGGCATACATTCTAGGTTGTGAAAAATGCAAGCAATTAGGTAGGTCATTAATATACAGTAAAAACAACAAAGGTCCAAGAATTGTTCCCTGGGGAACACCACATGTAACTAATTTTGGGTTTGACATTGAGCAATTAATTTGGCAAGTTTGGGTACGATTGTTTAAATACGAAGTAAACCATTCGTGACAGGAACCGCGTAATCCATAATATTGTAATTTCGTTAATAAGATATGATGATCAACTGTGTCGAAAGCCTTTTTTAAGTCTAATAAGACAAGGGCATTGACAAGGCCACGATCAACGTTCACTGCCCAGCTATTGGTAGCTTCGAGTAATGCGGTTACAGTAGAATGCAAAGAACGAAAACCAGATTGGTAACGGGATAGAATACGATTCTCAGTAAGATAGTGATACAACTGGTCGTAGACTACCCGTTCAAATACTTTGGCCACGACTGGGATCACCGATATTGGTCCATAATTGGTGGGATCATTTCGTTTACCAAAATTTTTATACAATGGAGTAACTCTAGCCGACTTCCACTCATCGGGAAAAATTCCTGTCAACAGTGATTGATTAAATATTAAAGTAAGAGACTCGGCAATTAGATCAGGGCACTCCCTTAATAATTTAGCTGATATACTATCTAATCCAGTGGCCTTTGATTTACAAAGTTTTGAAAGGAGAGAATAAATATGAGCAGATGTTATTTCCTTGAAGACAAACTCCTTAGAAGTTCCACAAAGAAACTCTTTGTAGGTGGTATCAACATTCGAAACATTTCGACTAAGCCTTGGTCCAATCTCAATGAAGAAAGTGTTCAACAATTCAGCAACTTCTGCTTGATTGCTCGATTTTAGTCCCTGATATTGTATTTCATTTATTATTGTTTTATTAGATTTGCGGGAAGTCGATTCATTGATGGTCTTCCAGGTCTTACGTTGATCACCGGCATAATTATTAAAAGAATTATTATAATAGGCCTTTTTAGCAGCCTTGATTTCCTGATTTACTTTATTTTTGACCTTCCGGAATCGATTCCAAGAGGACGCATTCTTAAATTAGTTTAACAGCTTTTTTCTTTAGCCGGTTTCTGAAATTCATTCGCGTTTTTTCAAATTTGTTGTAATCTAAGGAGACTTGGTGGGACGGGTGCGTTTAGTTTTCACAGGGGCGTGTTTATCACAAACACTTAGGAATAATTCTTTCCATTTTTTTCCACATGTCATTGGGGTCGTACAGTTCTTTAATATCGTCCCACGGTTGCGTCGAAACATCATTACGGAAATTATTGCTGTTGAAGTGTTTAAATTGTCTATAGCTGATAAAATTGATTCCTTTAGAAACAGGCGGGATTGAAATTTTACGGTACGCGTAAACAAGACTGTGATCGCTTATACCCACGTGTGTCACCCCAGAACAGAGAATATTGTCTTGGTGACTGGTGAAGATAAGATCAATTAGGGTACTTGTTGAGGGTGTGACTCGAGTAGGCTCGTCGATTAATTGTTTTAAGCCATAAATATCGGTAACATTTAACAGAGCCCTTGCATAAATGTTTTCGCTGGACAGCAAATCGCAATTCATATCACCCATAAGATAATGTTCAACATTCTCGGAATCAAGTCTTGCTAACAAGGAGTCAATATTCGAGAAAAGGTCTATAAGTGAATTTGGCGGTCGGTACCACGAGGTAACAACAAAAGGTTTAGAGTTAGGTTTTAAAATTTCAATCGATAAGATTTCTAAAAGTTCGTTATCTAAATCCTCGCGGACTACGTAATTTATATTCGAACGAATATAGAAGCATACACCCCCACCAAATCTCCCATTAACGGTCCTGTCACGACGGATGACAACATAACCCACAATTTTAACATCCTGATCAGATATACTCCCGTCGAGTCTCGTCTCATTAATAGCTAGTATATCAATCGGTTGACCATCTAATACGATACGAAGTTCATCTATATGTTTCAATAGACTTGTAATATTTAAGCTGGCCATTTTAAACCCACGACCCTTGGGAAATATAAAATTAGGATTCGAATTGCTCCTTGCACTAGTTGTGGTGGTGGAATTAGGTGTCGCCGCAGTTGTTGAATAGGAATCAAGTCAACGAACAATATTATTTACGAAATTACTAGCTAAAATAGCAATACCTTTTTTGTTAAGGTGCATTTTGTGATTGTTCAATCACGTCTCGTCAATGTTTGGATGCTCGACAAAGCTCCAACCATGTTGGTTGCCTGCATGATAACCGCGCGAAAAGCGAAACATCTTGACGCCACAACGATGTGTACATACTCTCACGCAAACATTACTCTCGCCCAATCAGAACGCGCATACTATCTTAGTTATTTTATAAATGGCTATGTAGGGCTGTGTATGGTTATGTATGGCTATGTACACTAGCACTATGTATGGCTATGTAAGGCTATGTATGGCTGTGAAGGGCTATGTAGCAACCTCGTCCCCAGGGCGCTTTTCCCTGGCTTTGGGGGCGGGGCGGGAAAAGGCCCTGGCATCGGCCGGTCGATCCGTCATTTTGATTGGTTGATTGATTTAGGTAATTTATGTAAGAAAATGACCAAATAAAAATAATTTATGCATTATACCGAAATCGAAATGGCGGAAAGTATTTCCACTCCAACGAAGATTTCTGCAAGAAATCCAGTTTGCAGGCTATGTGGTGGTTCCTATGAGAGTCGCTATATGCTACGGATATTCAGCAAGGCCGGTTCAACTAAAGATCTGTGTTCGAAGGTTAAAAAAACGTGTGGGATCAAAATTTCTGAGGACGATACGAGGTCAGCTAGGTCAACAGTGGTGTGTAGGACTTGCGTTGCGTTCGTAGAGAAAATGGATCAGTTCATTCAAAGGGCCCAATCTCTAGACAATACGCCGTCTGATCCAGTAAACACAGAATATTCTGTAAAGCGATGCGTTCAACTTTCGCCGTCTTCGCATCAGCCTTCGAAGCGTTTATCGAAGGATATGCCACCCGAAAGCTCCAATGTGGATCAGCCGTCGAAGCGAATCACATCAGGTAGATCTGCAAAACAGCTTTCCTTCTCATCTCCGCCAGCCACGACGGCAGATAATTCCACATGTACAACCACTTCTGCGAAGCATCCCAAACGAACTACATCAAATTCTGCAGAGGAGCTGTCTTTGTCAACTCCGCAAGATGCTACTTTTCTGATACCCAGATCAACAGGAGATGAGCTTGCTGTTATGAGTACGTCTGCGGATCAGCCGTTGGCACAAACCACATCAAGTTCTGCAGAGCAGCCAGCTTTCCCGACTCGACCAGCTACAACTGCAGTTTTAATGCCCAAATCAACAGGATCTAGTAATTGTACGTTTGAAGCTCAACCGTTTTTGGATGAGAGACAGCAGAAAATGATTGTGCAAGCGGTCAGCCATAAGGATGCAACTGTATTGGCGGCTATTTTGAAAGACCACTGTCCAAGTGTTTTACAGGAGTTAAGAAAGGCCTTCGAGGAGGAATTGAAGACATCATGTGCAAAGCTGTGCAAGCGTTCGCAAGGTTCAGTTCTATATGGAAATGACTACGAGAGCATTGAAAACTTTGATTTCAATAAAGTATGGGTTGAATTGAAGACGAACCACCCTTTTCTTATAGAGATTATGAACGCAGTGTCAGGCAAAGAGAACTCTGTCGTAGAAAAAAAACTCGAGCTTCAAGTCAAGTACAGTTTTTTATACTCCATCCTTATGAGCGAGAGATGGCATGAACTCAACCTAGTGAAGCGCGTGAACACAGTTCTCATCATCGAGGGTGGATGTACCAAACAGGTATTTCAGCTTACTGAAATGTAAAACATCAAACATTGGTTGATTTCCCCAAGGGGGGTACTGATTGGGATGTGCTGCCTGGTTCTCCAAATCCTGACCCTATTTCAGACTCAAAAATGTGATTTTCCACACCTGTTTTCACACCAGACTTCTAAAATCCATACCCATTTTCAGACCTAGCCGTTAGGCAGAAATTATGTTATCATTACTTAGTATAGAGCGTGAACAAAAAAATTCTTCAAATCCACTTCCAATTTGCCTATCTCTGTTACTCATTTTGAATTGAAACGATAAATACGTTCATACACTCCCATAGTTCGCTCAAAAACCATACCTGATCTCAGACCAAAATGGGCAAAGTGTATACCCGTCTTCGGACCAAACCCTACCTGATGGGCAGCACATACCTATATAGCTTACATAGGCGAGTAACCCCCTTGTGGTTGATTCCTGAACTAATATTTCCTCTTACCCACACAGCAGTATTTATATTTTGCCATTTAAATCATGGATTGGTTGCTATCGGAAATTCACACTTTTTATAGAGCTTGTTATTGTTGTGTAGTAGTTTGTGATTCAGTTTCTATTTGAAAGATCCATCCTTATAATGAAGCCTAGAAAAGAGAACTGCTCTGTGGATATTGAAATTTGTTTTTTAAATTCTGTCTCCCTTTAAATAGCTCCAAGAACGACTAAATAAACTTGGTGTATGCCTGTCATCTGGGAGAAGAGATACCCTTCTGAAGCTGTTAGGAGGCCACTTCTCAGACATAGTAGTGACAAAAATGAAGAAAGGAAGTGTGTTCCGAGGTACTGGTGACAACTGGGATTTGAAAATTTTGAAAGGCCATATGAGAAAGGAAGTCCAGAATGAGGATCTGCACTTGTTTGCCAGTAACCTAATTGAAAACAGAATCAACTTCAACCACTTACCCAATGACAACCCCAGAGGAGATATTAAAGATTTCCGTCGACATAATTTTTCCTTAAATGTAAATGAATGGAAGACATATGCAGAATGTGCCAAAATTATTGTTGGGCGAATTGTTCTTGAGTTCTGTCCCAAATTTAAGTTCTTGAGAGCAGTTATCCCCAATCACATTTCTCATGAGTACAGTCTACAAATGGCACAGAAGTCTACCATAGTTAGTTTGCCAATAATCAATGCAAATGAATCAAAGTATGATGATTGTGTTAACATTTTAAGAACTTATGAAAAGTGGATTGCTGAAATCTATGTTCAGGCTGGGCTGCTAGATGAAATACCACACACTGACAATCCACCAGTTCCTGAAGGACCTGCAGCACCTGGCCAGACAAATGCACACAGACAAGACACCAACGATGACCCAATGAGGGAAATGAAGATTCCTTTTGCTGGCGATCAGCTAACCCGAGTGAGATTTGCTGGAGCCAAAGATTTGCTGTCAGGTTCACACACAGCATCCGATCGTTTTGAACATTGCTCTCCATTTAAACCTGTGATGTGGCATACCAAAGCTTCTCTTCTACAGTACACGTACTCATTTCTGCACAAAGCAGAGTCAGTAAATCAAATTGGTACCTTGAAGTACTTCAGGGAGAAGTACAATAGAAGGAATGCTACCCCTTCCAAAGTTCTTGACTCCTATGAAGGAAGTGAAGAGCTGTTCCTCAGTGTAGGTAAAGCTTACATAATAACAGCTGTGCTGAACTTTTTTGGGATGTCAGACCTTGAGGATACACCATCATTACATAAATTTCCACAAAACATTGCACGCGAGACCACAGAAAACAAGAAGAAATACTTTGATGATGCCTTTGGAAAGTTTATTGACAAGTTCCTGTTACAGAAAGTAAATGCCAATGATTTTTACAATGATGATTATGTAATGAATTATGCCCTTTGCTGTATTTTCCTGGCTGTTCTTGTCATGCAGATGAAGGACACTGCAGCAGAGGGAGATGGCAACAGAAATCTCATCAATCAAAAACTCTTGCTCTCAGTTTTCAAGTCTATGGGGGCATACAGCAAATATGCAATTGAAATGTTTGTGAGTATAGCCCAGATTGAGTGTTTATTAACTCCACGCCTATCTGAACAGTTCAAATGGGGATTTTTTGTAAACTGGAGGGGTGGCTTTGGAAGAAATATCGAAGACGATTTGGCCCAAGAAATTTCAAACCGATGCAGTAAAAGTATTGTCCAGAGGCAGGGACCAAACAAAACTCTGAACTCTATTAGCAAGGTCTGCAAAGCCACTACTGGCATCTATCAAATCGTACAGGAATTTGACTCATCAGTTGGCATTCACAAGACATCTGTAGAACATACTACACGAGACTCACTTCAAGATGAGAAGGAAATGGTACAGGACCTACTGCAGTTGAATCCTTTCCATTACATGTCTGCGAGATGTCATGACAGCTTCCCTGAAATTAAAAGGTCTCCCCTAAAGTACTTGAACATTGTTGAATTTCATGAGTGGCTGGATAAACACATGAGAGAATTAGCAGCTTAACCCTCTCACTTCCACTATTGACCTGCATGTGAATTCTTATTACAATTTTAACACAGTCATGTAGAAAGGTAATGAGAGTTTAGAAAATCATCAATAATTTACGTGTGCGGTGTTTTGATGTTACATGAAATTCTCAAGAGTAATCAACAAAGAAAATATACATGTATGGTACATGTAATCAGTTGGAATAGTATTATTATATTAACCCTTTAGCCTTAATATCCACATACGAATTCTCCAGACTGATCTCTATACATTTCTTACAGAATGAGTTAAGAGAATTTGATAAAAGATCAAAGCATTTTCCCTTTGGTGATCATTTTATCCATTCTCATAATGTAGTCTCGACAATGAATGGATATCGTTAGGAGAAAATTGATTTTGGTCACTATTGGGACTTAAAGGATTCACCTTGACATCTTGGGAGTGAAAGGTTCTAAGACGATATACCTTTTTACTGACGTCTCTAAAAATTGCAATTTTGAATGCTTGAATATGAATTTGTCATAATATTATTGAATTTGTTAATAAATGCAAAGTTTCATAAAAATCCGTTGCAAGCTCTCGGAAATATGAGTGTTTAGAGTTGCCAATATTTACAAAGCAATGAATGTCAGAGGGCAAGTGCTTGCTTATTGGTGACATCAGTAAAAAGGTCTATTGATGTCAACTAAGGGCTGGGTTGATCAATGACCAGTGGATCACTGGAGTCAGCAAAAATTTATTATCACTAGTAGTAGTAGTTCAATATATTTTTTTTATGTCAGCAAAATACAAATAGTAATGATTTATTAGCATCTCTCAGACCTTAATTTTTTAGTTACTTTATGAATAGTAAGTTACTGAACTACAGCTAAGACAATGGTTTTATGGCAGGTAATCAGAAGAGACAATATTCAGGTACAACAGTAATAAAACATAGTAACATGTGACCGCCAGATCTTCATGAAGCTTCTCAATTAACAATGGTGAATAAACTGATTATCATTACTATAGAGATATTTACATCCATAGTGTACTTCTGGTATGTGAACCAAAATATACATGTATGTATAGCTGCAGTACTTACAATAAAATTGTTACCATAAAGTTCCGAAAGTAATAACTCTCGTCACTTTCAGATTTAGCAGCCTTTTTTCCTATTGCTACTTTTGGAGAGTCGCGTCTTTTGGGCAGCTAAAGGGCGTACTGTACAAAATTAATTAAATCGCGACAAATGTGAAAACTACACATTTTGTATTATGAGAAACTTTTTATTTGTTATTGTTTTGAATATCAATTTGAAAGATTCAGTCTTTGAATAATTGACATTATCAACAAACTTAAAACCTTATCACTACTAATGTTTATATTTTTAAGAACATACCATAAAGTTTCAAAAGTAATGACCCTCTGAAAAAATCAAGGTTGTTAGCAAATCCCGAAAGTAGGCCCCCACCCCTGAAAATAACAACCTCCTGAAAGTGGCGACCTCAAAAGCAAAAAAATAATGGAATTGATAGGTAATGATAATGACATGATAGGTATATCAAACTGATCGGTATTAAATGGGAACTGACAGTTGATAATGTAGATTATGTAAAGACTGACTCTTTCTAATGTTCAAGAAATATATACAGCAGTTCTGTTTTCCAAGTTTATGTTGATATGTTCTTACCATCATTAGAGTTCATTACAGTTGTACACAGAGAAGTGTGCTCGCATATTAGGGAAAAGATCTTAGAGGAACAAGCCTCATCCCATATTCCAAAATTGATCAACAGATCTCTTTCCGATTCAATAAATTCCACACCCTCAATGACTTTTGCAGCAACATTCTTATGTACAGAAATTTCAAATAGCATGATACAATCTGATGTTGCTGGGGACTCGTGCTCTGCAATAACACTCTTGATTGATCTTTCAAGTATAATGCGGTTCTCGTTAGACAGTGATCTGACCTTGTTTCTAGCAGTTTGGGGTAGATCCTCTACTGTTTGTTTGTTCTTCCCATCACATATGCAGCAACACTTATCTTGCTGAACACTGGAGAAACCAAAGTACTCAAGAAGTTGTTTTCTCAGACAGGAGTCCTCTGATCTACAGTAAGATTTCACTGATTCTTCCACATGTTTTTTATTCTTTCCAATGTCAGAGTTGTTGTAGTAAAGTGTGGCACGTGAGGAAAGTCCTGTGCGACCAGCACGACCAATCTCTTGCATGTAGGCTTCAAGGCTACTCGGTGGTGATATGTGGATGACATTGATTACATAAGGAGCATCAACTCCCATGCCAAGTGCTGAAGTTGCAAATAGCACCCTTACCCTTGAGTTTTCTTTCTTTATTTCAGAAATAATGTCCTTCTTCATGCGACTTGTTTGGGGGGCATGAAACTGCGCAAACAGTCTTGCAGTGGGTTCTGATGTATCTCCAACGTACTGCCTGTCTTTAAATATTCTTTCAAATAACCCATAAGCATAACCACAGTATTTCAGCTTTAAGTAGATGATTGTCATTGGGTAGTTCTCCCTTTGAACTGCTAGTTCATTTGCTATGGGTTCTAGGATGTGGTCATAACTTTCATTTCCATAGTGATTGCTCAGTCTCACTTTCTTGTCTAAGTATATGTTCACACGATTAGGGTTTCGTGCAACAATTTTACAATCACTTTTTAGACGCAGACTTTGCTTTAAGTCTTTCAATAAATGAGGCGGTGCAGTCGCTGTCAGAGCCAGTGTTGGTACAGTTGGAAAGAATGCCTTCAACACTGAAAGGTCTTTGAAATCTTTCCTAAATTCTTCACCCCTGAATGAAAAAGACAAGAAAACCCTGAGTTGTTAACTTACATTAAAGTTAAAAAACAAGCCCAGTAATAAACACAAATTTTCTTTTATAGTAGGCATTTTTTGGTAGTATGTTTTGTATTTCATAAATTATGATTCAGTTGTAAAAGCATGGAGACTATGGATGATGTTCAAGTAATATAGCACTAAATAAACGCATTTGATTTTTTGGGCTACTACATGTGTGACATTACAATGGCAATATTTCTACACAGCCCCATTCTTTAGGTTATGCATGGATCTAACCACGCTCGTTCTTTGCTTGTGAGCATTTCAAGGACAGTAATACATGTATAAGCTTAATTGATAACAGGGGAAGTGTGGATTTATTTCGACTATCAATAAAGATTAATACATGCATTGCAAGTGGTTCATCAAGAGCATGTAGCTGCATGTAATGCCCTCAATTTTTTTCAGTAGCATCCTTTGGAGTGACGCTTTCGTTTACAGCTCATATTTTTTTCCGAACAGCCGTTTTACGGAGATTATTCGACATTAGATTCTCATACGAAGACTGTAATTTCTCACGCGCGGCTTCATGTTAAAAAGGTGACAAGGTCTGTAGTCAGCTGTAGTTCACATTCTAGGGTAACATTTGCCACGGTCTATAAGCAAGGTATAGAGCAGATTTGTGTGAAATTCTAGTCGCACCGTAAATACCGCTCGTTGCAGCGATAATCTCTTGTTTTTCAAGACAAGCGCTCAAAAACAAGTATTATAGTAAACATCATTTCACGCACTTACCATAATTCTACACAGTGAGCCTCATCAACAACACAAGCAACAACATTCTCTTGGAAAATTTTGCTCCCCATTAACTCTCGTCCTTCCTTACTTAACAGAGCCTCTGGATGGGCAAATACAATGGACGTGTTGCCATTTACTACGTCTGGAGGAAGCTTTGGGGATTCCTTGGCCACGTGTTCACTCGATTCTTGCTCCTTTTCAAATAAGTTCTCGGCCGGTTCGTTCATGTTTACAGCAAGCTGTAAGACATCAGCAGTTATCCCCCGAGCTTTTAAAACTTTCAGCTGGTCCTCGATGATGGAATTCAAAGGACATACCACAATAACTATATTCTTGGTTTTCTTCACAGGAATGAAATGGGGCAGAAGGTGAAATAGCATCGACTTGCCAAATCCAGTTGGTAAGACTCCAATGACATCCTGGCCTTGCAGTATAGATTCGAAACACTTGACTTGCAGAGGTTTAAAATTAAGCGATGGAAAGTTACCGTTACTCAGGGAAAAACCGACCCGGCGAAGCACTGATAAAAACTTTGGTCTACCGGCCATGTTTATCGTATGCGATCGTATGCTAATTTCAATGCTAATTTATTACACCCACAAATACTGGGTGTTTGGTGGTCATGTGACCGGCCGATGCCAGGGCCTTTTCCCGCCCCGCCCCCAAAGCCAGGGAAAAGCGCCCTGGGGACGAGGTTGGCTATGTAGGGCTAAGTATGGCTATGTAGGGCTGTGTATGGCTGTGTATGGCTATGTAAGGCTAAGTAGGGCTATGTATCGCTGTGTAGGGCTATGTATGGTTATGTATGGCTATGTATGGCTATGTAGGGCTATGTAGGGCTATGTAGGGTTGTGTAGGGTTATGTATGGCTAAGTAGGGCTGTGTAGGGCTATGTAGGGCTATGTAAGGCTATGTATGGCTATCTAGGGCTATGTAGGGCTATGTATGGCTGTGTAGGGCTATGTATGGCTGTGTAGGGCTATGTAGGGCTATGTAGGGCTATGTAGGACTGTGTAGGGTTATGTAGGGCTATGTATTGCTATGTAGGGCTATGTAGGAATATGTAGGGTTGTGTAGGGTTATGTATGGCTAAGTAGGGCTGTGTAGGGCTACGTAGGGCTATGTAAGGCTATGTAAGGCTATGTATGGCTATGTAGGGCTATGTACGGCTATGAATGGCTGTGTAGGGCTATCTATGGCTATGTAAGGCTATGTAGGGCTGTGTAGGGCTATCTATGGCTATATAGGGCTATGTAGAGCTATGTAAGGCTACGTAGGGCTATGTAGAGCTCTGTAGGCCTAAGTAGGGCTATGTATCGCTATGTATGGCTATGTAGGGCTGTGTAGGGCTATGTAGGGCTGTGTAGGGCTATGTAGGGCTATGTATGGCTATGTATGGCTATGTAGGGATGTGTAGGGCTATGTAGGGCT